ATGTCTCAAATGAAGAGCAGCACAGACAAGATAAGCAGGCAGCTCCCATGGAAGCCAACAGAAAACAAACTCTGTCCTTCTTCTTCTACAACTCAAATCATAACTATTTCTCATATTACAAGTTTCAGGTGGCATCCATAGGTCTGCAAAGGCCTGGATACTTTTTTATGCTAAAGGAATATTTTAAAAATTCAAAAGTAACTGCATTTGAACAAGAAGGTGCACATCTTGCAGTTCTCAGTTGAGTCTTTTCAAATTGTTAGAATTTTTTACTCTTTAGGAACCTCAGCATTTGACCAATAGATAACATTCACAAGAAAAGCTTATAATAAAATCTCAGCTATAGGGAAATAATTTAATGATCAAAAGCAAACAGCAAGTGGAAAGAGATTTTTCCCTTTTTGACTATGCAATGCTCTTTTGTTGCCACTACACCAATTCTTTAATGCCATGGAAACTATCTGATAAATGTATTAGAAGCTCAAAAAATTTCATAATATTGAGGTAGCAAAGCAATTGGTACTGTTGACAGAGAACTTCTGCTCTGAGCACTTATTTTAAGGAGGAAAAACCATCTAAAAATAAAAATCATACTTTGAAACATTTTCAACAAAAATATACAATAGTTGCAGAGAACATGAAAGTAACCTTCAGTAATTACATCAAATCATTGGAAAATGTGGAAGGATGACAGGAAAAAAACACACCCTGAATTAGAAAAATGGGATACAAATGATTTAACAATGAACAGTCTGGCTTTTGGATGGTTTGCTTTGCCTAACTTCTGTATTTGTAATGAGGACAAGGGGGTGGCAACGATGCTGTGAGCTGCATGCAAGTGCTCTGTGCAATTTCTCAGGATGCTAAATGTGCATTTGTAAGACACATGATGTTTTTAATCATCTCTGTGTAAGTTTTCATCCTCTGAACACTCCCCTGCCTCTACAGACACCAGACAGAAACACAAATGAGCTCCCCCTCCCCCTTTTGCAGGTAATACTGAAATTGCTCTGTTTTCACATGTCCAGCACTTACAATACACTCTTTTTCCAGCCAAATGCTTTCTAACATTGCACTCCTGCTGCTCCACCTCTAGAGACTTCTAAGTAAAAAGAGCAGCTATACAAAATGAAAGCAAAATAGTCCTCCAATAAATAATACACCTATCCAATGCAGCTACAATCCTATTTTCCTCTACAGAGCAAGCTCGATTTGAGGCACGCCACAAACCTGGTTAGCAAACAGGCACACAGATGGAATTACTCAATCCCAAAAAGGGGCCCTTCACCAGGACTGCTCTGTCACAAGCCAGTTACACCTAAGGCACCTGTCAGCCTGGGGAAAACCAGCAGCCTCTTCAAAGGACAGCCCAAATCCATCATGCACTGCGAGATCCACTGGGGAAAGCATGCAACCTTCAAAAAATGCACGTGAGAAACTACAGAGGAGCACACACAGGCAAAATGCACCTGTGCCACAACTCCCATGTGCACCTCCCATCCCACTCCTCTACACTTCAAACAAAGGAGAAAACACTGGGCTTAAAGTGTTATATTGGACAAGAGTCAGATTTTTAAAGATAACTGCAAATTAGATTTAGTCACAATGCAATAAATAAAAATATAATGAAATCATCTAAAAATTTAAGTCTTTACTCTAAGCAAACAGCAGTTTTTTGAGTTGGGGCTTTTGAAAGCCTGAACTCAGCCCAGCAAAGCCTCAGAAGGAACATCTTGTTTTCCAAATACATTAAATGTTTGTTTGCAAACTGATACCATCCACACACTTTTTAAAAAAAATATGAGAGTAACAACTTCATTTCTGTATACGTTTTTTCCCCTGAAATGAGCAACACTGAAAATTCCAGTTGTTCTTATTCCATTTCCTAAACAGCAACTTATCCTTCAGACATGTACAGAGCATCAAAACACAGCATCCCCCTTATTTTTCTTTCCCAAAATATTTTTATTACCAAAGAACAACAACAAGGCTGGTGTATCTATCTGTTTTTGCAATACAGGCATGTAAGCTCACAGAAGGCAACAGACTGCATTAAAACACTACCAAAACAAGCCATTTCACTCTGTGTGACTCTGCCCCTAGGGAGAGGAAGGAGAGCAGATAAGATGTGACAGATGTGTAGTCACGTCACTTAATACACTCCTGGAAGGTGCTCAGATCATTATGGTGACAGGCAGAGTATAAAAACTTGCAAGGAATGGACCAAGCAGTTACCCAGTTTTCTGCATACATGATTCTTGTAATCACAGAAGATACTGAAGGCCATAAAGTGCTGTTGGAGGTAAAGCAGCCTGACAATGTCAATATGCAATATATCCACCAAAAAATTAAAAAAAAAAAAAACAGAAGGGAGCATAGCATGGATATTTGTATAAGACCCCTCCATGATGCATATGAAATACAGATGATGAATATGAATTTGAGGTCTGTCCTCTAAAAAGTTCCCATACTGAAATATTTCTGAAGAGGTTTAATTAAACCTGAAATTTACCCAAACCAGGAAGGTGATCAATTGCACATCTCCAAACTAAGCTCAGTTTTCTGAGACTTTAAAAAAACTACTTTGCAGGTATCTCTTCTCTATTTGGGTGTAAAAGACGAAATTTTCCAGGATAAAACTGGAAATCATATGGTTACTGGGCAGAAGAAATAAGACTAGTCACTTGTTGGAAGGTGAGTGTAACCATAAGAGTTAAAAAAAAATCAGGACATTGATGGAATTGGTCAAGAAAAGGATGAACAACACAGGAGAAAATAATTTCCTCACTTCTTGCAGACTTAACAACCCTGAATGTTACAAATATTAATGTAGGTCAAGAATATTTCCAAACAGCAGCATGATTTTTAGCTGCCAGTGTCCCTTCTGCAGGGACCAATAGCTCCGCTGTTCAGAGAGATTGTTGGGCCCAAATCCCACCAATTAATCTGCACAGGTAGATCCCTGCACCTCTGGGAATCTGCATTAAGGCAAAGAGGGAAAACCAACTCCCAGGATCACATTCTTCATTTGAAGCTGGACCACTGTAACTCATTATGACACTAATCATAAATGTCTCACCAACACTCTCTGCTCCCCATCTGTTTGTTTTATCTTATTATAGTTTTATATCTCAATCCTCAGGACTGGCTGCAGTAGTCACATTGAAGCACCTGGACACGCCTGTGTTTCTGCAAGGCGAGGTCTCACTGATTTACTCATGCCCATGCCTGCTTTACTCCCTGAATGGGACTACAGAATAGAGAGAAATAACTACAACATCAATTTCTTCATTTGTACAAATAGAAATCCAAATGTTTTCCACTAATCCCATCATTTAAGCCATAGGATAAACTCCAGTCACCTTCCAAAATGTAGCAACTGGCATGAAATAACCTGCATATCAAAAATTACCTAAAAAAGCGTAAAACTGAGCTTTAAAATTATTTGAAAGAAGTATTTGCTTCTTTATCATATTTTCACTAAACAACAAAAGAGTTGAACAACAAAGAGAAAAAAAATTTTTAGAATTGCAGAATAACCTGAGTTGAAAGGAACCCACAGGATCATTGAAGTCCAACTGCTGGCCCTGCACAGGATCACCCAAAGAATCACAAATAATATTCACTGCAGACTACAAAGTCAAATCCAGTGGCAGCAACCAACCCTAAACTGAGAAATACTGGAAAAAAGTCACCACCAAGCACAGTGCAGGGGGGCTGGGTGCACATTCAGTTTGACTCAGGATACTCCATTTGTGAATTCTTACAGGAAGCCACAGAAAGAAGCCCAAAATATTGCAATGACAGCTCCACTGGAACTAAGCCTGTTCCTATTAAAGAATCCTACTTTTAATTAAATTTAAAGTGAGAGATTTTTGGGGGGGTTGGGGTTCATTGGTTTGTTTTTTTTGCAACTACTGTATCCTTATGAAGTGGGGTTGAGAACCAACTAAAGCACAATTCCACATTTGTTACATATTCCAATACTCTGATTAACACATTTGTCAAACAAGGTAGATGAGAGAATGTGGGGAATACACTTGCCCAAAAAGGAAGAAAAGGGACAACATTAAACCTAATAAACTTCCTATTTTCCAGAATTATCAGCACCAGCCATGTCTATATTCACTACTTAGAGCAGAAATGAAGAATAGCAATGAAAAAAACACACAGAAGTAAATAAACCATTTGAGAAGTTGGTGTTGAAGACTTCTGAAGGGTGATTTCCCCTTCCTCACCAGACAGACATTCTGAGAGGTGCTTCTGACCCCTGGATTTGTACTGAAATTCAGTGACAACTAAAATTATGGAGAAGCAATCAAGGTATCACAGAGATATTGACATGCTTTTAAGAAGAGTATGCTGGATAATATTTTTCCTTCTCAAACCAGAGGTTAAATCTGCCAGCAGAAACTCAACCAGCATTGGGATATGCAAGATCTCAAAACAGCAGGGCCTTGCCTAAGACCACATTGGCAGCATCTTTCCCCTTGGGAGGCTGCAGCTCATGGGACCTTTCCATTTCAAAATCCAGCAGAAGGCAGGACCTGGGAGCTATCCATGCACAAATGGTAAGAGAGGGGATCCCACCTCCTCTCTTGCTGTAGGGGCTGCAGATCCACACACCAAGGAAATACTAAAAACCAATTTCCTTCAGTTCACAAGTCCATTTACCCTTACCAAAATTACTGCTGATTTATGTCAGCTGCTGAGGATTCACAAACCAAAACACTCTTGCACAAAGCCTGAGAGCCTTGAAAATTCAAGTCATGGTAGGGGTTAACATCAGCATTTAAAACTTCCAAAAGTATTGCAAACAATTACCACACCCTCAAGTCACAGATAAAATATTTTGTAGAGCTTAAATACATATACATCTGGTATGAAACATTTCTCAATGCCTGCAAAACTTCCCTGCAATTCCTGACAATACTTTGATTTTCTAAGTTGGTTGTAGAGCAAAAATTGTTTAATTTATTAAAAACTGTGTTTGATCTTACCTTTTAGCAGAGGCAGGGGAGTTAACTCGATAGGCTTGCCCTGAGACCTGAACTGGGAGGAGCTTTGTGACCTCTTCTGTCTGGCTTTTCTGACGGACTTCCGAGAAAATCCGTCTACTTTATCCACTGATGGAGGAGTAGTTGGTGCTGAGGACATATCCCTACTGAAGGAAAGCATGTGTTAAAAGTGTGTCCCAAATGAGTGAAACAGGTAAAGATTCATCTAAACTTTCCAAATATCTTCTTCCTGTTGACAACTCACACAGATAAACTGTTGAGAGGTCTAACCCATCTTATGGATAGAATAAACTTAATTATTAGTGTAGTAATTCCTATTGCTTACATTTTTATTTGTGTCTCCTATTTGCCATAAATTTCAGACCTAATGCTGACATCACTGCATTCAGAACTTCATCAGAACAGAACTTCACACACCTGCAGACCAGACTGTAGTTTTAAATTATGTACTCCTTGGGATGAAGTAATTTCAACTTACTCTGCTAAAGAATGGGTACACAAAAAGGCACAGATGGTTTTTTGGCATTAAGGACAAAAAACACAGGACAGAACAAAAACTCCATTTATTTGCCACACCTACATACAAGATTTTATAGAAATTTAGGAAACTATAGTAAAAAGTACTGCTATGCTTCACAATTTCACTAACACTGACACAAATTGTGCATATTCCTTCTTTATTCTCCACTTCAGAAACACTCAGTTGTTTTCCTGTGAGTGCCTTTACATGTGGTTATTCCATGTCCTGGCATTTCTGGACGACTGGCAGTGTGGTAGCAGTAACTGCTCTAAGGGCATGAGACACACAAGGTTTGCAGGGAGAGGCAGAGAGCCAAAAAAGGCTTCTGCAAGCAAAAGTAAGTTTGTTTCCCAACTTCAGCTGGCCTAGGCAATAGGCATTGCTTCTTCCTACAAAACCTGCCTTGGTGGTATTCCTGCAGCTGATTCTGTACCTCTAGCAAACACTGAATTAATGCATCCAGCTATTTTATTTACCAGTCTGGTCCTGCCTGTTAAAAAGGCCCATCAGAGCTCGATGAAACCCATGAGTAATACTCAAGGCAGAGGAGACAGGAGGAATTCAGGCCTACACGTTACCAGCAGCAGCTCGGTGCACAGTTCACTCCAGCAGCCTCATCTGCATTCATTAATTAACACGACCATTAACGAGGGCAGCTCTGGCGATTTCGGCCAGGACAGGCACCCGTGCAAAGTTAAGCATCGGCGTAAGCACTCGCAGGATCAGGGTCTTAGAGCATGTCCTTGGAAAGCATTACTCATCCCCAATGTCTGTTGACTTCAATTACCAAAGTGACTCCTCGTGTGCTACAAGAAGTTGATTCCACAACATACAGAACGCTTTCGAGTACTTATTATTTTTATTGAAATGATTTGGTTACTCGTGTGCTTGGTAGATTACTAAATCCACTGAAACAGGCATTATTTGGGTTTGTCTTTTGTAAGAAAAGCTTTCGAAAGCAAGATTTGTTGCAACAGTGTAAACAAGCTCCAAAAGATAAGAACTATTTAATGCAAAATTCCATATAGGTGCAGTGAATCTATCAAAAATGGAGTATAAACTCCATAGCTTCTTCAAGGAAGCATGTGCAGCACCCAGAAGCTGAACTGTGCAGCTGGCATTACAATAATGAAAAAAAACCTTATTCCATCTTTTTGATTTCTCCTGAGGTATTCTTTCACTACCAGCTTAGGCTTTCTAAATATAATATACTATCAGCAACATGAACCCGTACCTTAAACTGGTCTTGTTTATCACCCAGGCAAAAAAAAAAAAAAAAAAAAGCCAGCATCACCAGGGCATTCAGGCCCCAGCCAAGATTAATAAATAAAAAAGTCAGATAAACTGGAATAGAATGGCCTGTACTTTAGTAACCCACTTCTAAGATTTCAACAGTCCGCCAAAAAACACACAAAGTTACCTGTTACATAAACCAAATTCTGAATATATCAGCAAAAATATATTCCCTAAACGTGAATCGGTTTGGCCCCATCTCATCTCATCAGAAAGCTTCCCCTCCTCATCACGTGCATCATTAAAGTGTAACCATCCCTGCAGAAATGTTTGCACGCTCTCTCCAAATCAAATTACGAAAAATAATAAAAATAGTAATAATGGACAGCGACTAAAGTAGATCACTTAAACTGCAGGATCATTGTGTCAGCAAGGAGCTTTACTGACACTTCTCTGCTGTAAATTTAGTAACAGTTTCCCTAACCTGCTTTATAAATTATTAAAATCTAATTCTAATTCAACAAGACTACATCCAGCCTAACAACCTTACAGTAAACACTGATCTTTTTTTTCGCCTCTCCAAATGAACATTCGCTGCCCCGCATACACTATCACAGGGAAATACTCTGTTTCCACCAACAGTGGGGGGGAGGGGGGGAATAAAGCCCGAGATTATTTATTGTGTGCGAGGGGGAAAAGCTGCAAACCCGGCCACCGCTCCCCGCTTCCTCCGCTCCATTCCCCGAGTATTTTGGTAAATACGAAGCCACGCTCATCAGATCCGCCGGTCCCGGGGGTGGGGGGGTGGGGGGGGAAGTGAAAATACCGACGGCTATCGGCGGGGAAGGGAGCAGAGGCGCAATTATCCGCTCTCGGCTGTCATTTCCAGACGGGATCTCCGCAGCTGGAACATGTCCTCCCGCAGCCCCCCGCGCCTCCTCCTCCCGCACCGCCGGGCCGCCGATGGAGTTACCTTGACGCTCCCGGTAGAGAAGCCGGAGACGGAGGGAGGCGGCGGCGGCCTTGGCGGAGCGCGGCCGATGCCTGGCGGCGGCGGCGGCCCGAGTGCGGTTCTCGCCGGGCTCGGTCGCTGCCGCGGCGGCGCAGGAGCCCTGTAGGCCTCGGCCTCGGCGGCGGCGGCAGCGCGGCCTCCCCGGCGCAGGGCGGCGTCGGCGGCGGGTTCAGGCGCGGGCGGCTCCGCTCAGTCCCGTGCACTCCCCGCTGCCTGCGGTGCTGCTGCCTCTTCACATTCCCGGAGAAGGGCCCTGCGAGGCGGGAGGGAGCCGAGCCGAGCCGAGGGGGAGCGGCGGGCGCGGGGGGAGGCAGTGCCGGGCAGGGCGGGGAAGCGCTGCTGTTCCGCCGGCGGCTGGCGCGGGGGAGAGCGAGCGGAGGGTCCCGGTGGGCGTCGGGTTCTCGCTCCTATTGTGGCTCTCAGCGGGCTCCGGCCATGGCACTCGCTCGCACGCACTCGCTCTCGCTCACAACCGAGCGCGCTGCTGCCACCGCCCCCCGCCCGCGGACCGCCCCCGACCGCCCACCGGAGCCGCCGCCGGGACGCGCCGCCTCAGTGGCGCCCGGAGCCGCCTTGGCCGCCGGGAGCGCCGGGAAAGGGCCGCCCCCTCCCCCGGCAGCGCGGCCCCGCAGCCCCGCGCGTCCCTCGCCTCTCTCGCCTTTCTCGCCTTCGCGTCGCTCTCATCCCTGTGCCGGGCGAGCGGCGGGGCCCGTCGGCTGGGCAGTAAAACCCGGCGCTGCTGAGGGGAGACCGCGCTCAGGCTGAGGTAAAGCCCCGTGGGAGCCTCTTGGGGGGCGCAGAGCCGCTGCCCGGGGCGGACTGCGGACGAGGGGCCGCGCTGGGTGCCGCCGGAGGGACCGAGCCGGCGGGTCCCTGCTTTGGGAAACTGCACCCCTCACTCTTCTCTGCTGCAGCTCTGCACCCTTGGGTTTCTCAGCCCAGTGTGTGATCGCTGCCTGCATCCCTTTTTTTTTTTTTTTGCCCCCCGAGTATATTTATATGTACTTGGAACTAGGGACCAGCACAATGACTGCTTGTAGATGCCATAGTTAAATATCGTAAACTTCGGTTAAATTTATCTGCCCGATGGCTTGGTGTTTGATGGTTTTGGTTTGTTGGTTTTTGCTGGGGGTTTTCCCAAAATACAGCTAATGTCTACAGGGTAACGAAGCTGGGCAAGGATGTGCAGCACCAGGTCCTGTGAGGAGCAGCCGAGGGAGTTGGGGATGTTTAGTCTGGAGAAGAGGAGGCTCAGGGGTGATTTTAGTGCTCTGCAACTCCCTGAAAGGCGGGTGTAGCCAGGGTTCAGTCTCTTCTCTCTCAGACAAGTGACAGAAATAAAGGGACAAAGTAGGGGATGTCAGGGAACATCCCTGCTGAGCCAGGGGAGGTTTAGGTTGGACATTAGAAAGAATTCCTGTACAGGAAGGGTGATTAGACATTGGAATGGGCTGCCCAGGGAGATTGGTGGAGTTACTGTCCCTGGAGGTGTTTAAGGAAAGACTGGTGTGCCGTGGTCTGGTTGACAAGGTGGTGTTCAGTCCTAGATCTCAGAGGTCTCTTCCAGCCTCACTGATTGTGTGATTCTGCAATGGTGTTAATATCAATGTTATGTTTTAAAAAAAGTTGACATCTATGAGTAGCAGCCCTCCTATGTCGATATGACCAAATCCTTCTGATATACAGTCTTTTTTTTAGGAAAATAGCTCAAAGGCAGTTTGAGAGCTGGTTGCTTTGGTGGGTCAGCCACATCCCTGCTGTTTGTGCAGGTACTGAATCCCCTCAACATTACTAACCCTGCAAAGGATATCTAGTTGTTGTCCTACTCAGCTTCCTGACTCAGCTTTTGGCATAACGGAGGAAGTGAGACTGTGTCAGACTTGATTCAAAGTCATTTAAGCTGTTGTCAAACTGCTTTCCAAACTGCTAATTTCCAGCCAGTTCCCTGGTCCAGCTCCCGCTGAGGAACCTGCAGCACTAGTTAAAAGCTCATGGCCACTGAAGTATAACTGTAATGGATGTGAGTGGTTTTGCTTCTCATCTCTCAAAATCCATCTTTATATCTTAAGATATATTTTTTTCACCTATAGACAAAACAATTTTGCTTCCTTTCAATCCTGCCTGGTGTGGCACAGGTTTAAACCTATTAAGATGTTTATGTCTTCTCCTTGTGTTGTCTCAAAACCACTCACATCTTTTTTTTTTTTTTAACAGTAATGCCCAAGAATGAACATTACTAAAATTAAGGCCTCAGCAAGGCCAGCATCTGCTGTCCTGCCTGTCCCAGACCCCACTCCTGTTCACACCTGCCAATACAAAAGCTTTTGAGTCAGTCTGATCTATTCACAATCCTGCTGACCTGTTTTACCCCCGCATCCATTTCTGCTGACCTCCCAAGCCAGGTATTTCTCCCTCAAGTAGACAGTAATGCTGCTTGAGAAATTATTTCCTGCAACAGCCCTAATGCCATGCCTTCATTTTTATTTTATAATCAAGCAGTCAAGACATCTTTTAAAATGAAATTCCATGTGATATTAAGTCAGAGGACTGTAGAATTTGTCATCCTCTGTAAATCGATTGCACTTCTCAGAAGGATTGTATTTAAAAAAGCAAAACTAAGATTGAACTGTGCCACAGTTACAGAAGGGTTGTGTAACTCTTAAGTTTAGAAGAGTTATTTGTATGTATTTGTAGACATATAAAACTTTAAATTTTCTTAAAATAAACCAGCTAAAATAGTCTAAATGCAAACAAGGGTAACAAAGAACGTGAGTTGGAGTTATACCAATATAAGGTAAAATATGGCAAAACCAGTGCAATGTCCCATTAGTGAGGGACAGAACCTGTATTTGTGTGTGTTGTGCTGTTCCATGTGCTTAATTCTGTTAGCTCAGAATTGCTCAGTTCTGCTCAGTGTCCTGTGTGCTGCTTTTGATGTGAGCAGTGCAGTGAGCAGCTCATAAAGCTGCTGGCAGCACACTCTGCAGAAGGGAGGTTCTAGCACAGCCTGATGGCTACACTGGCACTTCAGGTGCAGTTGAGCAAGTCATTTTACATGCATGTACTTCAGTTTTCCTAGTATGAGATTAATCCATCTTTGTAAAACATCAAATACCTAAAATTGAAACCTGTGATGTATCTATTAAAATAAATGCCATAGAAGGGATAAAAATCAACAGTGCTGTCCAAGTCCACTGTCCAGTGCACACAGATGTTTTTACTCTTCATTCTGACTTTGTATAATAACTACAGAATTAGTTCTTCAGTACAGCTGAACAAGCTGGTAAATAATGCATTCAGCTAATTCATTTCTTAGATGGTCCATGTAGTCTGGCTGGTCCATTTTGGCTGTGTAAAGCATTTTTATGATGTGTTTTGTATCAGGTGATGTTTGGACAGTAACAATTCAAGGAAAAAATACAGGCTTTATCAGGGAATAACCAAATCTTACCTTTTCTTTATCATGTGGCCATCAGATTTTATGCAGTGGGCTTCCCATTTATTTCCTGGTCGCTTTCTTTTTTCTGCTTTAATCTGTGAAGTCCTCATCTGTGATGAGATTTCAGAGCACAACATAAGACATGAATGTAAGACTGTTGATGTTTTAAAGGGGTACTGTTACTTTTCCTTCTCCAATTCTCTGTTTAGCCTGTATTTTGTAAAAATTGCTGCTTTGAAAAAGGTCATGTGAATCCCAAGCATGGAGAGAAGTGGAGAAGAACTGAGTATTGCAGGTGTTTTACATAGATGTGTATCTGTATATGTTTATGTATGTGTTTGTATAAATACATGTAATACCAATTTGCAAGAATAAAAATTAACTTTCCTCAGATAAAAGTTCCCATGACCAACATTTCCCATACCAGTGTGTGGGCATATATATGAAAATATGTGCACATGCAGTACCTGCAGCCCTTCCTGGAGATCTACAAGCAATAATAAATGCTTTTGATCAGTGTTTTTCCATTGCTATCAAAGGTACAAGACAAACCTATTCTTTTGGAAACTTACACTACCTCACTCTCCTACAAAAGGGCTTTTTAAAAATAGCTGGAAAGGAATTTTCAGGGCCAGCTCCTCACCAGTTCAGCTCTGCTTTTTAGCACCCAGACAGTTGGAACAGCAGTCAAGAGCCCTCCAGAACAGAGATTTTTGTACCAGTGACTCAGATTTGTGCCACTTCACGTTTTTTTGTGTGTCTGGAGTTCCACTATAGACCATCTGTTATGGCCACCCAGGCAGGAATACAGGAGCTCTCATCCACACTGGCATTCTGCTCTTTGCAGAGTAGCTTATCAAACAGGATTGCTGCAGAGATACCACTGTGCAAGCCCTGCTGCATTGAGTGATAAACAGAAATGGGTCTAGCTGGAGCCTGTTTCACCTGGCACATGTGACATGTGTTTGTCTGCAGGAAGGGTCACATCACACTCCATAAAGGATCTCCTATATGTCAAAGGGAGCATTATCAGGGTACCATGGGATTAGTCCAGATATTCCCTGTTCCAATAGTAGGAAGCAAGAAAAGACTTGATCTCCCCAGAGAACTAATTATTCAGACCATCAGGAAAAAGACCAGCCAGAGAAAGTGTTATGGAAGAAGCAGCAGAGCTGTTTGAAGAGGTAAATCAGCATCTGAACAAGGCTTTTCTGATACATCTTTTAACAAAAATAAATGCTGTGGAACACAGCATCAAAGTACCTGTCCTGCTCCATCACTGGGATTGAAAAGGCACAATCTGAGATTTTTTTTGTTTACTTTGGAATCCAATTCACATGTAACAAGAAAGCATTCTGCTAAAGTCTGTTCCCTGCAGTTGACTCCTGATTCACGTTTTTGGTTTTGGGGAGGAGTGGTGTGGCTTTTAGGCAGTGTTTGCAATTGCCATCCCAAGTTTCTGTAATAATAAGCAAGTGCTTGTTACAGCTTCCTCCTGCTCCTCCTCTATCAGCTGTGCCATGGCACTGTCAGTGCCCTCAGGAACTGAATTCCTGCTGTGTGTGGGGTAAGCATTTTAGGGTCATAGACACAACTACCAGAATGGGAACTAATTCTTCCTCTCTGTTTATAGACACTGCGTCATTTGAGGTCTGTTTCTGTAGTCAACATGGCAAGATAAGTAAGAGCTTGCTCGCCTTGGCAGCTGGCTAGCTGCCTCCTCCAGCACAACGCTGCTCTCACTTATTCCCCAATTCATGGGTTTGTTCCTGCTTTGTTCCCCTCCCCCAGTGCCTTAACTTGCCTCCAGGCACTCCTTTAAGCCAAGTTTTCTGAATTTTTTTGTTCGCTTTCCTTCCCTGCCTGTTTACCTCTTACCTTCCTCAGGCCTTGTGCTCCACTGCTGGGCCAACCCCCCTCCCCAACTGTCCCTGCCCGCCCCAACTGCCACCTACAACTGCCTCAGAAGGTTCTGGTGCTGCCCCTTCCTCCAGGGCAGCAGCCACAGGGCAGCCTCTGGCACCTGGATCTGCCTGGAAACAGCCACGGGTATTA